AATTCTAAAAATGCTATGGGAAGGGAGGGAAACAGGTCCACTGCACTTGCCTGACTGCAGGAAGTGGTGAAGGAAGTAGTCAAGGCGAGCATTCCGGAGTGTGGGAACCCTTTGTGGCAGTTAGATAAATGTATCTGCCATAATAAAATGCTATAGGAAGGGAGGGAATCAGGTCCACGACGTAAGAAGCGGTAAAGGAAGTAGTCAAGGCGAGCAGTCCGGAGTGTAGAAACCCTTTGTGGCAGTTAGATTAATATAACTGCAATTTTAAATTCCAATAGGAAGGGAAGGAAACAGGTCCACGACGTCGGAAGCGGTGATGAAAGTAGTCAAGGCGAGCAGTCCGGAGTGTAGAAACCCTTTGTGACAGTTAGATTAATATACCTGCAATACTAAAATGCTATAGGAAGGGAGGGAAACAGGTCCACGACGTAGGAAGTGGTAATGGAAGTAGTCGAGGCGAGAATTCTGGAGTGTAGAAACCCTTTGTGGCAGTTAGATTAGTGTAACTGCAATTCTAAAATGCTATGGGAAGGAAGGGAAACAGGTCCATGACGTAGGAAGCGGTGATGGAAGTAGTCAAGGCGAGCAGTCCGGAGTGTAGAAACCATTTGTGACAGTTAGATTACTATACCTGCAATACTAAAATGCTATAGGAAGGGAGGGAAACAGGTCCACGATGTAGGAAGTGGTAATGAAAGTAGTCAAGGTGAGCATTCTGGAGTGTAGAAACCCTTTGTGGCAGTTAGATTAGTGTAACTGCAATTCTAAAATGCTATGGGAAGGAAGGGAAACAGGTCCATGACGTAGGAAGCAGTGATGGAAGTAGTCAAGGCGAGCAGTCCGGAGTGTAGAAACCATTTGTGACAGTTAGATTACTATACCTGCAATACTAAAATGCTATAGGAAGGGAGGGAAACAGGTCCACGACGTAGGAAGTGGTAATGAAAGTAGTCAAGGTGAGCATTCTGGAGTGTAGAAACCCTTTGTGACAGTTAGATTAGTGTAACTGCAACTCGAAAATGGTATGGGAAGGGAGGGAAACAGGTCCACGACGTAGGAAGTGGTAATGGAAGTAGTCGAGGCGAGCAGTCCCGAGTGTAGAAACCCTTTGTGACAGTTAGATTAATATACCTGCAATACTAAAATGCTATAGGAAGGGAGGGAAACAGGTCCACGACGTAGGAAGTGGTAATGGAAGTAGTCGAGGTGAGCATTCTGGAGTGTAGAAACCCTTTGTGAAAGTTAGATTAGTGTAACTGCAATTCTAAAATGCTATCGGAAGGGAGGGAAACAGGTCCACGACGAAGGAAGCGGTGATGGAAGTAGTCAAGGCGAGCAGTCCGGAGTGTAGAAACCCTTTGTGACAGATTAATATACCTGCAATACTAAAATGCTATAGGAAGGGAGGGAAACAGGTCCACGACGTAGGAAGTGGAAATGGAAGTAGTCGAGGCGAGCATTCTGGAGTGTAAAAACCCTTTGTGATAGTTAGATTAATGTGACTGCAATTCTAAAATGCTATGGGAAGGGAGGGAAACAGGTCCACGACGTAGGAAGCGGTGAAGCATGTAGTCAAGGTGAGCAGTCCGGAGTGTGGGAACCCTTTGTGAAAGTTAAATTAATCTATTTGAAATTCTAAAATGCTCTAGGAAAGGAGGGAAACACGTCTACGGCGTAGGAAGTGGTGAAGGAAATAGTCGAGGCGAGCATTCCGGAGTGTAGAAACCCTTTGTGATAATTAGAATAATGTACAGTATCTGCAATTCTAAAAATGCTATGGGAAGGGAGGGAAACAGGTCCACGACTTAGGAAGTGGTGAAGGGAGTAGTCGAGGCGAGGAGTCCGGAGTGTGGGAACCCTTTGTTACAGTTAGATTAACGTATCTGCAATAATAAAATGCTATGAGAAGAGAGGGAAACAGGAAATACATTACGTATATTACCAATGACTTTGGTTATTTAATGGACGAGAAGTTAGGATTGTTGTTGACTGAGATTTGGTTTTTTTAAGAGGTTGGTCCAGCCTCTTTTAACCTCGCCCGTGCGTGGATCGTTTACAGCAAAGCAATTGGTGAGCCGGTACAGTACAAAGGTGAACTTTACTGATAAAATTTAGTGGCAGTGACCAGGATCCGAACTCACGACATCGCTGCCTTGGCCCCGAAGTTCGCGTGACGCTACCGACTTGAGTCACCGACTCACCATTATTTGCCCCGACTCATGGGTTGATTTGCCCATACAAATAACATTATTGTGTACACCAGTGACACCGGTAAGTGTGCTAGGTGTGGGTGGACTCTTTCATTATTGCGCTCATGTTCACTCATCCTGTTACGCGCAGAATAAGCGTACTACTAGTTACGGTAATCGTGTTGCCTCAAGATAGCCACGAGATATGACGTCACCACACCTTTAGCCATCGTCCCTCCCGTATGCCCCATTGAGATTTAGATTATAACTGGAGTCACTACTCTCTGGTTAAACGTTAGAGAAAAACGTGCCACTGTTTTGGCTGGTTTGTTTTTGGTGTTTCGTGTTGTTAGGTTGGCCGTGTGATCGGTTGGTGGGATGCTGTCAAATAATTCCAATTCATTCAAACCTAACCATACTATTTATTTGGGGTTATGTTATCCGTTATATCAGGGACTTGTATCAAAAGCTTATTTAAGTTATTGCACGTTAAAACCTCTGTATTTAAAGTTATTTTGAAACATTATAAATTGTTTTTGTTTGATAGTAAATAAATACTAACTTATTTACCTCTTTTAAAGCTATGTGGTGAAAATAGGCTAGTCAAGTTTCCTGGTTTGGAGATATTGGTTTAGGCCAATAGCCTAACGGCATTTGATTAAATAACGACCATCGGTTTATGATCTTGTTAAAATGGGTTGCTCTTGCTTGTAAAATAAACAAATAAACTTATATTGCAATCATAACGTTGAGTTGGCAGATTTTTGTTTACTATCATCAACAAAACAGGATGACGCCATCTTGATTTTGCCTCTCTAATTTGACAAGTCCCACCAACCCGATCACCTGGCCAACCTAACAAAACGAAACTCTGAAACAAAACCAGCAAAAACAGTGGTACGTTTTTGAAACACAGAGTGGTTACTCCAGTTATATTATTATAGCTCAGTGGTATGCCCATTCGCAATTGAAACAAATAAAATTGTGACAGAGAGGTTATGCAGAAAATCAGGCAGATTAAGATTAATGTAAACAAAATGTTATCGCTATAAAAAAATGACTGAAATTTGTAAACGTACTGGCGACAATGGGTAGTACCATGCAGACTAGGCCCTACATTCATTATCATTGACGAAGATCAAGATGGACTGGACAACCTAATGCTGCTATAAGTGGGAAACATTTGTTGAATACACTAAAAAACCAGATCAGCTTTTGAAAAATGATAAAATATTTACAAGAAATGTTGATTATATGGAACTGTTAGGTACGTAATCTATGAGTTGAGTCTTTTAAACTCATGGGAAATTATGACTTTTATTCGTTTTTAAATAACTACTTTACTTCTTTGCAATTGCTCGATTTCGAGCAACATCTTCACTAGTATAAAATTATAGTAATACATTAATAGACCTTCATTTAAATAATCAATAAGCACGATTGAGCCTTTGCCTATATGTTTCCTGGTAAGTGTGTTGTAACTGTTTCTTATAGTAGGCCTATACTAGGCTATAGTATCTTATAGTAAAACCAAACCGAATTATTCTTTTCTGCATTCTCACCCCGTAGTGAAGCACGGGCAGAGCAACTAGTTATTTTAAATACATAACCAATATAATTTCCCCCTTCCTATATAAAATCTATACTGTAACTGGCTGTTTAATCCGCTCTCTTTGCTCGGTCAATTAAAAAAACTTAAAATTGGATGGGGGGCCTAATTGTAAAATAAATCCCAAAAACGGCCTCTGGGGCCATAAAAGAAAAATCAGTCCCGGGTTGAGGTCTTAACATGAGGGAAGTAGCTTCAAATTTACCCTACAAAAATTTATCCTACAAAAATTTACCCTGCCGAGCTAGGTAGAGTGGGTGGGTTCATTTTGACCTAATTCCAGCAGCTCACTAATATTCAAACAATAAATAAAAATTTTCTTGATTAAAAATAGTTTTGAGCCATTTTAGCGAATTTCCCTATAGGGAAGTAGCTATTACCGTAGGTCTCATGGTAAGACCTAAGCCCGGGACCGATTTACTTTTTCATTTTGATGTCCCCAGAGGCCAAAAACACCATTCGTTCAAATTTTTATATCCGCACGATAACTTGAGTAATTTTTGTCCGATTTTGATAAAATTTGGTTTGAAGGTGTAAGGCGGGATAAACTTGGATGAGTTCGCGAACTAGCATGATCAGACTATGGGAACGGGGGTTTATGGGGGGTTTTATGGGGTAAAAATAGGTTTTTCCCATTTTTGACCCTAAAAACACAAAATTTAACAATTTCTTTTAAAACCATTTTGTAGAGCTTAAAAAAACAAATTTAGTATATTGAAGCATTATTATGCGCCTAATTGTTACGGAGAAAATTCAAAAACATTGTAATTTTAAAATTCTTATGTTATTCTTATGGAGAATAAGTCAACTGTTGTAGTTTGCTTGTTTATGAACATATTTTGATAAAAGTTGGAAAATACATTAATTTCTTACGAAACCACAGTACCTTTTAATATTCTACATAAAAAAAAAACTTTTTTACCCTCCCTGTTGCAGCAAACCTAAGCACTCATTAAACTAATTCTGTTTAAATAGGGAATAAATGTGATATTTTTAAGGAGACATTTTAGTTTAAATCCAATCAGGCAAATGGAAATTCGCTAAGTCTGCAGGTTTGCTGCGGCGGGGGTATTTTAGGGTAAGTCTAAACTGTTTAAATTGAAGTTTACAACAAGATAGTAACCAGATTCTGTGGTCCTTGAACAGCTAAGCCATCATTGTCTATGGTTATTAAAGGTTTAAGGCATTGACAAAATCAATTATATAAATGCAATTTTTATTCATATTTCTTTATTTATACAACTCAAGACCATTGTAAAAAAATAAATTCATAACTAAAAACTCCCAAAAAGTTTGTTTAAATACTGTTGTCGAAGATATCTCCCTTTTGCAATAATCAACATTGTTTGTCTTCAATACATTTTCTATAAAGAATATATTTAATATGACTACCAAAATACATCCTTTCCTTGTCGACCAAACCACAACACATTTCAAGGTCATTACTCTGACCTGGGGTGATTTGGTCTCTGTCAAGATTGTACCACAGAGGGTGTGGCTTTGAGAAGTTTGTCACAATAGTGTAGCTTTCACAAGGTTGTAAACGTAGGCTTTTATCCTTTGAACTCAACGTAATTTGAAAGTCATGACCATAGGCAACATCAGTATCTAACTTAACCTCATACACTGGGGATTCCTCCTTTCCAGTCCAATTTACTTTTACAGAACAACTGGCGTTGTAACTGATATCATTGTGATTAGACTGTAAGACAGGGTTTGAGGAAGACAAGAGCTCTTGTGCCTCCTTGAAATCAAGAGCGAGTTTCTGTTTACCACTGCATACAATGGAGAACAGCTCAATAGGACTACTCAATTGATTGGTTACGGTAATAGTAGAACTCAACAAATAGACCGCATCAACCCAGGCGTCACAAATAGGCACAACTTTCACTAGGAACTTTTCATGCTTCAAATGGTGAGCATTTTTGCTCTCTGTACAAATATACAAGCTTTTTGAAGGCTTGGCATTCATGTAGTGGTATTTGATGATTGCTTCAATGTTCTGTTCTCTATCTGGGTGATTTGCAAGCACTTCCTCTACAAGATCAATCATGTTCAATGAACACAACCTCATGAACTTCCCACAAGGGACTAAGAGTTTGGGATGAATATATTTTTCTGGTTGATATGAATGGGCCAGAACAAATTTTTGCTTCTGAACTGTAACAAAACATATTACGTAGTTAGGTAACTTTTGCTTTAAGCATAACAAAACTTTTTAAGTGCAAAAATGTTATTCATTATAACTAGAAATTTATCGAGTCTCAATACTGATACTGACACTGGTGCCTTGTCACACCCCTGGGTCTGTTTGAAAACAACTGGTATACACCCTCCATTCAGTATCAGGACTGGTTCACTGTAGCCTCAAAAGAACAGTGGAGGGGTATCCGACCTGTTGGGTTCGATAGAGGGGCCCTTTAGGAGCACTTTGGTTTAGTTGCCTACGGGCATTCGTTGAGACAGGAGGTCGATATTTGCGCCAAGTGTTTTTTTCATTGTGTCGTAACGCCAACATGGAGTGTACCGTTGACCAACTCTGCGAATTTTTGCTTTAAACTCAGAAATCCGCGTCTGAGACAATTGCCTTCATTAAACAAGCTTATGCGAATGATGCTTTAAGCCACACAAGAGTTTTGAGGGGTGCCAAATGTGGCAAAGTGGTGCAAAGTGGCACCAAAAGACGGAAGGCTGGGAACTCGTCGAAGGCGAACATCGCGTTGGACGCCGGACAATCACTCGAACTGAAGCTCACATCGTCAAAGTGAAAGTACACGTCTGACAGGTGTCTAACCATATCCCACACCAGTAAGAAGACCGGCCTTTCAAAGGGAACCGTCCACACTATAGTTACGGAGAATTTGGCAATGAGAAGAGTCTGCGTGAAGCTGGTGCCAAAAGTTCTGAGCTAGGAACAAAAAAAACTGTCAAGGGTGGAGATTTTACAAGATATCTTGGACTGAGTTCAGGAAGATTTAAATTTTCTGGACAACGTTAAATGACCTGGGTGTTCCAGTATGACCCGAAACAAAATATTCGAGATGAGGGCAACGGTCTCGGATGCAGAATTTAAAGCAAAACTTCACAACATTGCTCGACGGTACACTCCTTGTTGGGGTGAAGACACAATGAATAAACACTTGACCCAAATATCGACCTCCTGTCTCAATGAATAACCGTAGGCGACTAAACGAAAGTGCGAATGGTGAAGGACCTCTCTATCGAACCCAACCGGTCGGACTCCTCTCCACTGCTGTTTTGAGGTTACAATGAACCAGTCTCAATGTATGAATGAACCCACTGTAACTCTTACAATAACTATGATTGCAACTTAAATATCAGATTGTAACAGTGATTGTAATTTAAATATCACTGTGGGATTATACATTTTCTTGTAGTTTTTTATTGTTTTATTAGAAAGTCTAGGCTCCAAGGATTCTTAAGACAGGTGTGTTTGTTGTTACAGTTTACATACTTCATTGTTCAATAGAAATTAATAAAAAATGTCGTCATTCAATAAATATGTTAGATGTTTTACAGTGTGTGTATTTATTAATATGAAATACTAGCCGCTAAGCCCGTGCCTTGCAACCGGGTAAAGATGCAGAAGAGACAATTTTGTTCCTTGAAAATAATGGCAAGGAGCTTGAGAAAGCTAAATAGAACAATTATTATGTTTCCTAGATCTGCTGTATGTAGATAGACTTTTACTAATTTACTATTAGTATTAACTGGCTACGAAACATTACTGTAAAAAATCCATCCATTCCATGTATCACAGATTTTTGTTTCTGCTTGGTAAAAATTAGCTGTTGTCATAAATAAAAAATAAAAAATAATAGTGCAGCACCCTGTTGGTAAACCACCATACCCGTGCTTTGCAACGGGAAGAGAACGCTTAAGAGAATGATTATTATTCCATAGATCTGCTGTAAGTAGATAAACATTTAGTAATCCAAATCCACTAAAAGTAATAACTTAAAATATTAACTGGCTACTTTCGTTTCCCTGGACTTTGCTGCCAGGGCTGGACTTGTCATAAACGAGGGCAACACGCCAACTTTCCAGCGTCCCGGAATGAGGGGAACGATCCCAGACATCACTCTTGCATCTGAGTCCCTCTTGCCGAGGATACGAGCCTGGAGAGTCCTGGAGGGTTATACAGCCAGTGACCAGCAGTACATCATTTTTGATGTCCTGGATAGTCATCAGAGACAAGCTACCGTGTCTCGGCAGGTGCCCGTTCGGTGGAACACCAAAAAGCTGGACGTGGCCAAATTCACCGAAGTCATACCTACTACTGGGAGAGCCGGTGGTACCTGCTGTATCTGGCGTGGCTCACGCAGAGACATCAGTTACATCATTGATGAGGCTGATAGTCTCGGCCTGCGATGAATCAGTGCCTTGAAGGAGATCCCGGTGCGATAAGCGAACTGTGTACTGGTGGACAAACGAGATCGTAGAATTGCGACGGGCAGCATTGAGAGCCAGACGTCTTGCTACCAGGGCCTATGGTTCGCTAGTCTGATGGACAAAGGTATATCAGGTAACTGTCATAGCCATATGGTACGCTACAAGCCACTGGAGCCTTTAGGAGCTACACTAGAAGTTGCTCTTGGGCTGCTACCTCTGGACATCTTTATCAAATCTGAAGCCCTCAAGGCAGCTTACTCTTTGAGGGTTGCAAATCTGTGGAGAGGCGGCCTGTCAGGGGCAGGCCATTGCCAAGACTTTGGCTGCGTGTCCTGTGCTTGACATGACCTCGGACTTCCTAAGCACAGAAGCAGTGTTCACCATACCCTTCAATGTTGAATTCCGCTCCAGGGTAGAGTGGAAACATCAGGAAGGGCATCTCCAAGATACGGAGAGCTTCATCTGGTAAACGGGCAGCTCCTTAATCAATGGAAAATCTGGCTTTGGAGTATTCAGTTGATCACCAAGAACAGATCTTTCAGCAACTCTGGGATGATACTGTACCATCTTCCAGGCAGAAATCTATGGTATCTTGGCTTGTGCCAACTTTGGACTAGCCAGATGCTACCAAGACAGGAGGATAGTTATTTTGTCTGATTGTCAGGCTGCTCTTAAAGCTCTTGACTCAAATGAAGTCACCTCAAAACTGGTCTGGGAGTGTTTCAACACCCTCTGCAAACTTTCCACAAGGAACTCTGTAACTCTCGGCTGGGTTCCAGGCTAATAAAGGCATTGGCGGCAACGAGAGTGTAGATATGCTGGCAAAAAAAGGTGCGAGCATGCCATTCTTTGGACCAGAGACTTTTTTAGAATCAGCAAAGCTACCGCTAAACATGAAATCAACAAATTGTGCAGGGGACAACACCTAGAGCATTGGCGTAATTATCCTGGACAATCACTTAGCAAAAAACTGCACTCAGAACCTAGCACCCTCTTCACTCGCTGGCTGCTAAAGCTAAAGTTGGCAGGTCAAGCAGGTACTTACTCTTATCACTGGACACGGCCATTTCAGGAAACATCTCCACAATCTAGGAATTGTCAATGACAATCAGGAGTGTCGACTTTGTAACCCGTTGATGAGACTGCAAAACACATTATTCTAGATTGCGACGGACTTGGGGTCAGGAGAAGGGCTCTGGTCTAAAGCAGCCAGGTGATGAACCGGACGCTATCATTGGGCAAAAGCTCCTGTACCTAATCAAGGACACAGGCATAGGCTTACCCAGTTAGTGGCAAGTGGGATGCAGAATAAGCTTCGGTTGACGTGCTTGGACCACGAGTCCACCCCTCTCACAATACATACAATACAATCTCACGCAGTTCTTGTCAGGCCACCGCTATTTTCCTGCACTTGATGGCCAAAACCAATTCACCTGACTGTATTTACTGCCCAAGCATTCTAGACTATGCCGACATACCTTTTTCCACTATACAAGATGGGATATGCTCAACATCTTGGGGTTCTGTCAGTTGAATCGATTTGTGAGACCTTGATGTAGGGTGGGACTGCTGGTCGCAATTTGTCCGGAATATCTTTAAAGTTAAATATAACGATCTAGATCGGATCGCAGTCTAAATTGTGTAGGAAATTAACAGCTTAACACAGAGTAAGATCTTCGGGCATAGGCAATCTCAGCCTACTTCTGATGAAGTGCGACAAGTGTTCCCAGGCTAGTGTCTGAAGAGTAGAGGAGGTTTTAAGTGGGTGGTCTTTGGTTCTTAAATCTGTTGGAGTCCCACACTATAGGCTAGCCACCTGTTTGCGTAAACGCATTTTCCCACCTCTCCCTAAAAAAAGTAGAGCCTCCATAACAAGACTCTCATTGGGATTATTAAATATGACTTGTTATCGAGGTAGACTTGTTATCAAGGTAGACTTGTTATCGAGGTAGACTTGTTATCAAGGTTTGCAATAAAATGTAATCAGGGGGAAAGTAAATTTTAGTGAATTTTTAAAATAACTCGACATGTTATCATGTTATCGGTTACCAAGCCCAAAACAAAACCAAAAATTTGTTGATTGTTTTTTTTCAATGGATAGTTATTAGGACATGTAAAGCTTCAAGTAAATGCATGATGACATTCTGTCACCTTTTGGCAATTCGAGTTTTCGCTGCCATCTTGAATCTTAATGTTTTGAGTATTTTTATATTCATTGTATAGGGTTGTCGTAGATAATTATATATATGTTTTTAAGTACACTGAGATCAGTAAAAACACTGAAAAGTAGGGGTCTGCAGTGCACTGAAAAAGTCAGTACAGTACAGGCTTAATTACCATCATCAGTTCCGTATAGCATTTTACACGAAAATTCAATAAATTACTTTCAGTTTATTACCGTAGTCAACGACAGTTATTACGGCTATTTATTATTCAATCTTTTTGAACTTGGTATCGTTTGATAGGTAATTAAAAATGCTAAATAAAAGTGCTCTTGAATTTTTCATAAAATCAGCCATTCTTTAGTAATTTAAGTTTAAAAGTTTTAAATGGCCGCCATTTTGAAATTTTAGGTTGAATCAAGATGAAATATTTTTTGAACACGGGTCTCTTCTACCTTAACCTGCATACCAAGTTTCATAAAGATCGGTTGAAAAAATTAGAAGATAAAAATGTTTATGTAAAAAATGCAAAATGGCGGATATCTGGTTAACGAAGCGATTTTGGAAAAAATGTTATTCTTGATT